CCCGCGGGCAAGGCAGTGCCTATCTGTTCTTTAAATGAAATTAATTGGGGCTCGGATGTATGTGCATGCACACAAATCTATTAATAGATGCGTTCGCGTAGCTGTTAATTGTTCATGTTTAACCAAAACTTACAAGTTTTTGCGTTCGCGTACGCAAAAAACTTGCAAAGTAGGGGAAATTGAGAGAGCAAACTGACATTACATTTTGAGGGGAAGCTGCTGTTTTCTGCTGGAAAATTTTTTGCCAACAGGAAAACAGCTGGTTGGCATTTACGCAAATCACAAAATTGAATTTGATGGCTTGGAAGATAAAAATTACAAAATGCGACTAATTAAACTTGTAAGAAATCAGTAGTTATTTGTTTAATCAATAAACTGTGTCAGTATAACACTTTGCGATGACTTTTCGTACGTTTGAAATTTTACACTTTTGTATGTAAACAAAAATTATATCAGCTGTTCGTCTAACTTGCAAGTTTCTGCAAATTTTCTGTTCGCGTACTATTTTGGATATTTCTCTCTTGTCAGAGAACAGATGACATTTCGCCGGAATTTGGCAGTTGGTTGGTTTCTGTTGGAGATTTTAAACGAACGCCGCTAATATCGTTGAGTTATTTTAATATCTATTGCAAGATTTTCTACAGACAAGACTAACAAGTAGAAAATAAATAAAATAAAAAACTTTTTGATATGCGTGGTTTTATAAATCGACTAAAAAGTAACTTTTGATTTTGAAACTTTAGCAAAAGTCATTATAAACATTTTATGAGATTGAAAATGAAAAGCGTGGGGCGCATGCATGTATGTATATTGGCAGTTAGAGCTAGTACCGTCCGAAAACCTTGCAGTACAGATATATCAATAAACCGTACAAAAGAAAAGGAACAGATACGTTTATAAATAAACATATACACAACACATACACAAAAACGGCACTCACGTACACAATACATACAAGGGATTTTGCGAGCATTTGCATTCGCATTCGTTATGCGAATGATTCGCATCATTTTACACATTCGCATTCGACATTCGCCTTCGCATCAAATTATACGAATGTTTTCCGAATGCGTCTCTGCATCCGCCATCTCTGCACCCTGACGACTCCAAGGATACAAGTACGGATTGGCTTGGGTTCCAACTCAACATTCATCCCACTAGTCGAACGTTTCAGCACTATTCAACGAGTGTTACATACCACTACCTATGTTCTGCGCTTTCGACCTGCTGGCAAATCGCACTGGCACACGCCAGTCATCACACTCCACGTTCACGAAGCACAAGGTAATTTTTACGCTTCAGAGATAAATCTTTTACGAGCTGCTTACAGTGTCCCGACCTCGAGTAAGTTGCTTCCGCTCAATCCTCTATTAGACGAATCGGGTGTGTTAAGGGCCAATTACGACACGCAGACCTCCCCTATGGTCAGCGCCATCCGATAATTCTGCCGAAAGAGTGCACCTTCGCTACGCTCCTGTTCCGAAATGCTCACAGCATGACCATGCACGGTGGTATAAGAGAAATGTTACAATATTTACGACGAGAATTGCGGATCGTGCACGCACGAGTCCTGGTCAAGAGCTGCATACATCGATGTAGAGCCCTCAAGCTGCAGCAACAAGTCATGCAACAACAACAAATGGCTGATCTTCCCCGTTATCGAGTTTTAGTGGCACCTAAGCCCCAGAGCATTTCTAGATGTTTTTGATCGTTTTGTCAGTCGCCGAGGCTATTGCACCAACCTTTACAGTGACAACGGCACACAATTTGTAGGTGCAAACCGCCAACTCCAATCCGGACTTTCGGAATGGATAAGTACCTACGCCCAACAACAACTGTCTGATGCTGGGGTTCGCTGGCACTTTATCACTCCAGCCGCGCCCCATCAAGGAGGCTTATGGGATGCGGCAGTGCGTTCGGCGAAGAAGCACTTGAAACGGGTAGTGGGATACAGCGTACTTACGTTTAATCAACTTAGTACCCTGCTGGTGCGCATCAATACCCATAATTGCGCTCCACGATGATCGTGATGGTGGTCTCGCATTATCGCCTGACAGTTTTCTCATCGGCCGACCTTTGAAGTCCCGTCCAGAACCCGCTTTTCCAGAGGCTCCAGATAATCGTCTTAAATACTATCAGTGACTTCAACGCATGCTGCAATATTTTTGGCACCGCTGGAAGGAAGAGTATTTGGTGCAACTGCAGGCTCGAAGTAAGTGGGCAAGACCTAAACCCAATGTTCGAGTTGGTGACATCGTGGCTATCCAGCAGGAGCATCTTCCCCCACCCCGCTGGTGAATTGGACGCATCACCGAGGTGCATCCGGGGAGTGAGGGGCTGGTGCGAGTGGTCACCATCAAATATAGCACCTGTGACCGAGGACTGCACCGTAAGCATCACTGCCAGCGCCCAATCCAAC